TAACTCAGAGAACTAACATTTAACATTTTCATATGACCAACCTCATGCATAGATAAAATACTCATTCAAAGTGTCTGAGGTGCCCTACTGGCACAATGGTTAAGCAATCATCTGCCAACCAAAAGGTCAGTGGTTCAAACCCACAAGTAGCTCCATGAGAGAAAAGACCTGGCAATCTGCCCCAATAAAGATCTCAGCCTAGGAAACCCTATGGGGCAGAGTTCTACTCTGTCCTAGAGGGTCGCTATGAGTTGCAATCAACTCGACAGCACACAACAACAACAAAGAGTCTGAAAGACAAGCGGATTTTAAAGTAACAGTATGATAAGTTCACTGATACAGTCTCAGATTCCACATTGCGACTCATTTTTAAGAAATTACCACTTGTCAAATTTTGGTATAATATCAAAACACCACTATCTGAAAACACTACTGAAATATTTCTCCATTTTCCAACTATACATCTAAACGAGGCTGAAAATTATACTTCAACCAAAATATCATATTACAATAGGTTAAATACAGAAACAGATATGAGACTACAACTGTATTCTATTAACCTGGACATTGAAGGACTTTGTGAAAATGTAAAACAATGCCACAACGTGTTGCTTTCTTTTTTTTTTTTGGCTTTGGAAAATACCCTTACTTTTCATAGGAAATGTTATTTATGTTAACATATATTGGGTTCTTATTTTTAAATAAATTGATATTTTTTAAATTTCTTAGTTTTAACTCTAATATGGTAAAAAAAAAAAATTTTTTTTTTCTTTTTTCCGTTTTACTGAGTTAAAAGGGTGTCCAGGGGCCATACTCTTAGGGTTTCTCCAGTCTCTGTCAGATCAGTAAGTCTGGTGTTTTTTTGTGAGTTAGAATTTTATTCTACACTTTTTTCTCGCTCTATCTGGGACTCTCTACTGTGATCTGTCAGAGCAGTCGCTGGTGGTAGCCAGGCACCATCTCATTGTGCTGCACTCGGTCTGGTGGAGGCTGGGGTAGCTGTGGTCTATTAGTTCTTTGGACTAATCTTTCCCTTGTGCTTTGGTTTTCTTCATTCTCCTTTGCTCCAGACAGGGTGGGACAAGTGGAGTATCTTAGATGGCTGCTCACAAGCTTCTAAGACTCCAGACGCTACTCATCAAAGTAGGATGTAGAATATTTTCTTTATAAACTGTGTTATGTCAATTGAGCTAGTTGTCCCCCCAGACCATGGTCCCCAGACCTTGGCCCAGTAATTTGGTCCCAGAGGGAATGTGGATGTGCCTATGAAGCTTCCATGACTTTGCCTTGGTCAAGCTGCACTGGCCTCCCCAGTATTGTGTACTGTCTTACCCTTCGCCAAAGTTATAATATGGTAAAATTTTGATAGATAAAACCCACATATAAAAAAATACACAGAGGCCCCCAAGGAGCTTAAAAGTATAGAGTACTGAGAGCAAAAAGTTTAAAAACCACTGGTTCAGATACTTTCTAACTATATTTTCTAACATAACTTCTGATCCTGTCCTTAACGTTTTCCTACAAAAATTTATATGTACAATACATGCCTCTTCTCCTACCTTTGATAATGATATTAACTTAAAAGAATTATTTCTTGTTTGTAACTCATCTGCTTCCCATCTCAATGAGCTTATTTATAAGCTGCAAATATTCTTTTTAGCTGTTTCAGTCACGTAAGCAGTATCTGACGAATAATCAGCTGATCAGAAATTCATTGCAATTTGATTTTTTTAAAATATCCTTTTTGATTGCTGAAGTCTCTTTATATTTCATTTGAACACTACAGGTCAATGTTGTCCAACAAAAATATAATGCGAGCCACATATAGAATATTAAATGTTTAGTAGTCACATTAAAAACTAAAAAGAAACAGGAAAACTTAATATTTTATTTAACCACACATATCCAAACTATTATCATTTCAACATATCAATAAAAAAATTTATTGATGATTTATATACTTTTTTTCATGTTAAGTCTTTAAATCTGGATGTGCATTTTACATTTACAACACGTCTCAATTCGGATTAGCCACATTTTAAGTGATCAATAGCCACTATTGGCTGTTTTGGATAGCACAGCTCTAGGCAGAGACAAAAATAATTAATCTACAATTGTATCTGCCTTCTGATCTGAGCTTTACAACCCAGTGACCACATCTTATTATTTTTTCTTCTTCAGTACTGATATTTAATGTCTCTCTCTTCTACTGTGTGGCTTCATATATTCACTTAACATTTTATTTTCCAAAGGACAAAGTCTAACCTCAATTTCCACTTCTTTCAGAGCATTTTATATTTTAGAAAATCTGTCATTTACAATATAAAGTTTTGACCTTTGTGTTACAGTTCTTCTTCCCAAACTACAAGGACATATACTGACCTTTCCATGTACAGGTAAATTTCAATTTGTCATGAAAGATAAAATCAAGAAGAAGAAAGAACTTGAAGCTAGTATTTCAGAAATACTTAAGAGGTAAGATTTAGAGCACAAAGTGGACTATACAGAAGTTTGATTGGTTCTTAAAGTGACAGGATTGATGAAACAGCTAAACTATAGCCCTCTCCATTTCCTTCCTCCAATGACAAGCCAACTACTTTTGACCAAAAAGCTATTTTGATCAGGTAGACCTTGACTTTCATATACTATACTGAAACACCAAATTTGCCTTTAAAAAGAAGATGGACTTATTTACTTATGTGTTGGGGCTGTTCCATTTATACTCACTCCATTTATTCTACAATAGCAATATCTATATATTTTTATTTCACTGTATCTTGTCTATACTTACAAAAATGACTAATAAAAAAATGAAAGTGCTGATAATTGTGAAAAAGGAAACTTTGGTCTCAAATTTAATCCAACTGAGACAAAGATATGAATCATTAGTTTTAACTGTATACTATTTAGACTTATATCAGATTGAACATTCAATGGTGATTTTTTTAAAAAAGTAAATATGTACAAAATAATGGAAATATTTCACAAATACTATTTCTAAAAGCTAAGATGCAATGAGGGGTTGATTATATATTTCTTAACTCTCTGAGGCTACAAACAGCTTATAACATAGAAGTCTATCATTAATGTTTCTTAAGAACACATTTTGTTCAGAAGTAGAGAACTGACTGTAGTGGCTTCGGTTTTCCAAATTGCAGTTTATGACCCTGGTGGTTCAGGGAAAAGTACGGCAAAGAATACTGGAAATCCACAGATTTTGTTTCTAATACTGGCTCTCTCTTTGATCTCATCTAACCCTCATCTACCTGATACTGGCCTAATACACCTATAAAATGAGGAAGATGAAATATAGACAGTTCTATAGATATAGAGTTTCTTCAAGGTTGGAAGGATGTCCCTGTTCATTACATATTATACTTCTCCCTCACTCCTGATGTTTCCATCTATGACACTAAGCAAAGAAGATCCACTAACATGACAGTCCAGCTTCTATACATCCCTAGGGAGTAAAGTGACTACGGGTTTGTAAGTGCTGGTATGTAACTGGCCACATTCTGCTTAGTTCTATCATTTTTTCCTCCAAGGAGCTACACACCTAAGGGAATGCTGAACTAGTTCAGCATTGCCTGTGACTGTGACTAAATCTGCCAAATTCTAGGGTTTTGTGAACAGGTCCACTTGGCTCTCATACTATAATTTATCAGTTATAAAGGTTTTATTTTGGTCCCCTTCTGTTACTCCTTGGAGTACTTACTGGCTCCTGGCCAGTAAAATTAAAAAAAAACCTTCAGTACATGAAAAAATATACATAACTCTAAAAATATTTAATAGTTAATATTTATTGAGCTGTTACTATCAGGCAAATGCAGTAACTCAATAATCTTCACAACAAGTAATTGGTAGATGGATATTATTGTTACCATTTTACAGCTGAGAACCTGAGGCTTCGAGTAGTCAAGTAACTTGCTCAAACTCACAGAGATTAAAAGTGGTGAAAAGCTGGAATTCAAACTCACTTTGGACTCCAAACTCTAAACTCCAAGCAGCCTTATTTTTCAAAAAAAGATCAACAACAAATTGAAGGAAAAAACATCTGTAAGAATGACAAAAAGGAGCCCTGGTTGTGCAAATGGTTAAGCGCTAAGCTGCTATCCAAAAGGTTGGCGGTTTGAACCCTTCCAGCAGCTCCACGGAAGAAAAGATCAAAAAAAAGAGTCTTACTTTATGACTCATTAATCTGACTTCTATAACTCTTTATTACATAAATACCCCTGAACAGAGACAAGGATTCATATAACAAAGGGATTTTTTAAATAACATCGTCATGAATGAAGCAATTTAAAACAAAAGTTGTTAAAAATGCATACTATAATCTCTACAATAATCACTAAATAAACACATACGTAAACACACACAGCCACATACACAATGATAACATCATAGTATTATTTAAGTATTAAAACATATTTGAATAACACGAAGAAATGTTTATGTTTTAATACTGAATGAAAAAAGCTGATTTTAAATTAATTGCAGGATCACAATTGTATACAAAAAGAAAACTGTACAAAAAGAAGCAACTGAAAGATATTACTATGCAGTAGTAACAATTCAATACTAATATTGTTCTACTGGAGGGAGGGGTTATGGAAATATGCTACTTTATTGAATACCAAAAAACAAAAAAACAAAACCTACTGCCATTGAGTTGATTTCAACTCATGGAGACCCCATGTGTTACAAAATGGAACTGCTCCATAGGGTTTTCTTGGTTGTAATATTTACAGAGGTAGATTGCCAAGCTTTTCTTCCACGGCACCACTAGGTGGGTTTGAACTTCCAACCTTGAGGTTAGAAGACAAGCGCAATTTGTTTGTGCTACCCAGGGACCTTACAGAGTAAATAACTGTCAATCAAGCCACCACACTGTAATCCAAGGTATCTTTATAAAACATGTATTTAGTCATTCAGTTATCTCATCTGAGTAGCTTCAATTTATTTAAAAAATTATTTTAGAAATACCATTACCAAGAACTTACCACATGAGTTGTTTTTAATGTATTGCCATCAAATCTGCATAAACTGGAGCTCTCTTCAAAGAAAATATCACATTCTTCTAACTCTTGAGCATTACAGGGAGGTTTTTCTTTATCTGGATTCGGATTCTTAAACCAGAAAATAAACGAGTTAATAAATAATGATAAAGAAATGGATTTCTTTATAATTAGAAATGTTGAGATTATAGCAATAATTAAAAACTAAATTTCAGACCCATAACCAATGAAAACATAATCAAAAACAGCAGAAATGACAGAATGATGAAATTAGCAAAAAAGGATATTAAAATAGCTATTATCAATGTGTCCCATACGATCAAAGATATAAAGTGAACAGTGAATATGATGATAAAACAGAAAATATACATAAAAAATTAAACTTCTAGATATGAAAACATAATATCTGAAATGAAAATCAAAGAGGGATTGACAGCTGATTAGACATTGCAGAAGATGGTGAGCTTGAAGACACAGCAATAGAGACTATCCAAAGTGAAGCAGAGACAGACATTGAAAGCAAAAACCAAAACAAAACAAAAACAAACCCAGTGACGTAGAACAATATTAAATGGTCTAACATGTAGGTAATTGAAAGAGAGAACAGAAAAAAATTTCAAGAAATAATGGCTGAAAATTTTTCACATTTGATACAAATTATAACCCCATAGATCTAAGACCAAAGAATCTCAAGCAAAACAAGTTAGTTCTTAAATTATAATTGAAGTGATATATTATTTGAAGCTAGTGAGTAATAAGTTAAAGACATTACTGTAAACTCTAGAACCACTAAACACACACACACACACCCACATTCACACAAACAAAAACAAAAAACACAGATATAGCTAATAAGCCAAAAGTGGCAATAAAATGGAAACATAAAAGTAATTTCAAGATACTCCATTGCTTAAATACAAGGATTACCGTATGGTATTATATGCTGCACAGAGAAAAAGATCACAATTAGGCATAAATTATACACACACATGTATATGCTAGAAATACAATCATAAAACAATTGACCAAATGTCCACACATCTAGTTTGGCTAAATAGAGTCATGTTACAGAGAATTTAATGAAATGACCTCAGAGAGTCTGTGAAATTAAATGGCTGGGAGTTCTGGAACATCTCTAATCAAAAATCTGTCCATGCCTCAGCTGGGATATGGAGCCACCTGGTGTGACTGACTGTTCCAGCTTAAATATCAACAGGGACAATTCTTGTTGCTGTGCCAGGATGAGAAAACAATTCCAACAGTGTCCTGGTTAATTGGTACCCATATGTCAGATTCATCAAGGAGGTATGTCCAGAACAGAGAACACACCCTCCACATTCCCCTTTCCCACAGACACAGTTCCCTGACAGGCTTTCACCTCAGTCACGCCCACTCCTCCATGACCCTACCCATCCTCCCCTCACATACATAGATATTCTCAACTCAGAAAAGAAAAATTTAACCTTTTCTCATTTGAGAATAGGGGCTGGGCGAGAAGAGGAATCAAGAGACAAATTATACCAGGATTTGTGTTATCATAGTTGTGCTATCACGAAGGCTGGGTTTACTATACTTTTTATAGTTGACACTGTATAATCTTATCAATTTTCTTTGAAGAAAAATACTAGTGTCATTACAGAAATTATGCTTTAATTTGAATGTCACACTTATCCTTTAAAAGTATAATCTACTTCAGCCCTAGCAGATAATCCTTTAAAGTTAGGGTAAAAGTATTTATGGCTCTGATCTCTAATTAGACTTTTTCTATTCTTTAATAACACAATGGGTTTGCATTCATTTAAACTGTTGTCTAAGACACTGTGTGGTAATGTTATAGCAGCAACAGGAAACTAATATAATATAGCCTTCTAGCTACCACTTAAGCCCAGTTCCAAAAGCCAACGGCACATTTCAGTTTTCTATTACAGCACCCCCCTCCCCACTCTTGGCACCAATTTCTGTTTCAGTTATTCTTCCCTAACCCACAACTTAATAACTTAAAACAATGACAATTTATTATTTTTTGTGATTTTGAGGTTTGACCAGGCATTTCCTCTGCTTCATGTGGTATCAAATGGGGCGCATGAACAGCTAGAAGGTTCAAATGGCTTCACTCAGAGGACTGCAGCTGGTGAGGTCTCCAGCTCAGAGCTTAGTTGGGACTCTTGTCCAGGGACCTCAGTTTTCTTCCATTTGGATCTCTCCAAGTGGACCTGGGCTTCTTCATAGCATGATGGCATAGCATGAAGGAAAAGTCAAGATATCAAGCAACAATATAAATGCTTATCAAGACTCCTCCACTTCTACCATGCTTGCTAATGTCTCATCAGCCAAAGCTGGTCACATGGCCAAGCCCCAAGTTATTGCGAGAGGGAAGAAATAATATCAGTCTTACACAAACACTCCAAAAACCATGGTTCCTTAGGGGCCACCAAAGTAGCAGTCTACCATAAGTATGATATTAAACCAAAAAAAAGCCAAACCCGTTGCCATCGAGTCAATTCGGACTCATAGTGACCCTATAGGACACAGTAGAACTGTCCCATAGGATTTCCAAGGAACGGCTGGTGGATTCAAACTGCCGCCTTTTGGTTACCAGCCAAACTCTTAAACACTCCACCGCCAAGGCTCTGCTGGTATGATATTACTTATATAAAATAAAAAACCAGGCAAAACTTATCCATGGTGATGAAAGGTAATAGTGGTTACCTTTGGAGGTAGGGAGAAAACTAGAAAGAGGAATGAGAGACTTCTGGAGTGCTAGTAATATTTCATTAGTAGTTAGAGTTGTCTTTTTTTTTAAATACGCAGAACTATATAGTTATGATTTGTGCACTTCTCAGAAAAAACTGCCTTTATGTGCAGATGACATGATTCCGTATGTTTTTCCAAAACATTACAAACACACCAGTGTTCAGGTGTATACAACTTTTTCAAAAGTATCAATATTCATTTGAAACCATCAAGTTCAAAAGGTAATTTAGCAGCAATTATATACAACCACAAAACAGCCCCCATTAATACACTACTATTATATCCCTAGAGCCTACTGCAATTTGCTGAATGAATGCTTAAGGGCAATGTAGCCTGTATGGTTTGCTGTGACAACGAGGCTATAAAATCAAACTTTTATAGTCTTATACATGAATTCCTGGTTACTGCTGAAATTTCCAATTGTTGCTGGCAAACATGAAACTTGGTGTCTCAATTTTGGACATGTTTTTGCAGATATTTACTTTCAATATTCTAATCTTTTCTTTCTATCTTAGGATGTAACTAACTCTACTGCATACTAATTCTTCATACAGTCTTTCTCATTACTGTAATCCAAGATAGCAATAAAACAGATCCTGTACATGTGCTGACTGATAATATATATACACACACTCATATATACATACACACACGCCCCCTGCACACATACCCACACATTTATGTATATTCACAGTGTGTAAGGAACAAATACTTTAAGCTATATTCAAACAGCAGGTCAGTAGTATCTATGACTTTTAAAACAAGAAAAGCAAAATAAAGTTTGAAAACCACAGCATAATCCTCACATAAAATACTCCAGGACCTTTGGAAAATCATACTACTACTTCAGTTGCTTACCAGTTCTTCAGAGGTCAAATGCATTAAACGTTCAGCTATTGCAGCACACTGGGCTGAGTCCCTTATGAATTCCCCTTGTTTATCTCCGACTATTAGCTCTGGCCATGTCAGGCCTTCATTCTTCTTAATCAAAGAAATTTCCAAGCTAGAAGGTTAAATGGAAAAAGTGATGTTACATTAAGCAACTATGCAAATTATACAATCAGTAACATATAAAAAGTATCTTTCATAGTAATTATCCCTGTTGTCCAGAGAATGCTTTACCAAAACTCTTATTTTAGCTTTGCATGCAGTAGAAAGCCTTTCATCCAAGGCTAAATAACTTATATTTAACAAATAAACAAGGAAGTATCATGAGAAATTCTCCAAAAGACCATTATAAATGCAGTTTTTGAAAAATCTTTTAGTATGAATGTGAAGGACGACTCGAAGATAATGACTGGAAAAAGCGATACCATCCAGAAAAAGTATTGTGTAGTCTAGGCGTGTGCTGTGTTCCGGAATTTAAGTAATATGGAAATGCAAGGGGCAGGGAGGAGGGGTCATATAAAGTTAACTGAATGGACCGGTAGCTAAACGGTACCTGTCTGTGTAGGGAGCCAACAATTAACTTTATATTCACAAACTAGTACCCATACTATTTGATTATTAGTCTAAAGAGCAGGCAGGTTAAAGCAATCCAAAGTTTTAAAATACACATTTTAAAAGAACTGAAAAAAAAAAGAAATTAAATGTGGTCTCACTAATTTATTTAAAATCTAATGCTGTACATTTAAGTTGTTAAATACAAATTCTAAAGGCACTATAAAGGGCCTGGCAAGGAACTGACATCAAGAACTGATGCCAGCAGGAAAGGGAGAGCGCTGAGCCAGGGCAGACTGAACACAGGAGAATAAGAAGGTTGGGCCCATGTTCCTCTTGAATAGGAAGCGAAACCCAAGCAAGCTGCTTCAGAAGCAGCCCTTGCTGTGTAACACAGAGAAAAGTGGGGTGGTGGTAGCTGCTCCACAGAGCAAAGTAAATTTGTCCATGTGCCATCTTTGTACACGTGGCACCATACTAACCTATGCCCTGAAACACAATTGCAAGCAAACAACTGCAAGAATATAATAACAGCTATTATCATAATTATCAAATAGAATATGCAAACGTATCAGCTATTCTTTTTCAAGGCTGTTATTTTCACCACCTCCTGAATTAATTACACCATTTTAAAATTTTTGAAAACTACTTATTTTAAGAGACTATACAAAATAAAATCTTAGGTAATATAAGGTCCTATCATCAGCACTGAAAATTGTCACCGCAATTGATAATGCTCAAATTTAGTTATATTTTCTAAGGAGAAATATAATCTTGATACTAATGATGATACTAACAATAACAATGGTAGTAATAATGATGACAAGAGCAGCTTATATTTGCCTAATACGTACTATATGCCAGATACTACCTTAAGTACTTTTTATGTTTTAACTCATTTAATGTTCACCACAACCAAATAAGGTACGTACTATTATGATACCTCTGAATTACAGTATTGGCGAAGAACACTGAATATACCACGGACTACCAAAAGAACAAATAAATTGGTCTTGGAAAAAGTACAACCAGAATGCTTCTTAAAAGCGAGGACAGGGAGACTTCGTCCCACATACTTTGAATATGTTATAAGAAGGGACCAGTCCCTGGAGAAGGACATCATGGTTGGTAAAGTAGATGGCCAGCGAAAAAGAGGAACACCCTCAATGACATGGACTGACACAGTGGCTGCAACAATGGGCTCAAGAATAACGATTGTGAGGACAGTGCAGGACTGAGCAGTGTTTTGTTCTGTTGTATACAGGGTCGCTGTGAGTCGGAACCGACTCAACGGTACCTAACAACAACATTATTATTTCCATTATACAGGTAAGAAAAAAGGCACTGAGAGGTTAAGTAACTTTCCAAGGTCACAAGCTAGCAGTCTGGTTCCAAGTCCATGTTCTTCACTACTTCACTACTTAGTTTCTCTGTAAAAGTATATGTAAACAGCTATTAAGGAACTTTTACCCAGTGACCAAAAGGTATACATACCGTCCTTAGTTGCTACCTAAAAAAGTTAGAAAGAGTTCATACAATTTCAGTTACACAACCCTGTTAGCATGACTGCATTTCCGCATTTTAAAAATACTGTCCCACTATCCAAGCCAAAAGGAACATATAATGCCAAACATAATAAACTTCAGACTTATTAACTAATCATTCCAAAGTGAGAGGGAACATTTATTAATTATTTGAAAAACAGAGAGATGAATAATCAAGTACAAAAAATTCTGTGTTTTTAAACTAATGACACTACCTACACATCATAGTAATTATCTTTTGTAACATAAAATACTAATCAAGCACCTCAGATTTAGTGGGAAAACAATTCTGGTCTAGGTTTATGTATTAAATGCTGAAAGTATTTTCCCTAAACTTTTGCTGGGTTACTGCTTGATGACTTACATTTAACAATATGTTCTAGCTGATTTGCCTATTACAAATGCTGCCCTCAAATCTCTCACACATTCCTAAAATATGATTAAATATATGGAGATACATTTTTTAAAGATTCTTTCAAATAACTGAGTTTTTAATATGATATATTTAAAAATGTAACTAAGTCATGACTCATCTCCATTAATAAAATGAATTCAGGATACCAGCTTTTAAAGCTTAAAAAATTTTTTGAACTAGATGCATATTTCTTAGACACTCATGATGTAGACTTTTATCAGACTCATATGGTCATACTGCTACTACTCAAGAACCATACTCAGCATAAAAAATATCTAATGTATCCTTCATGCAACATTAACCTGGTGGTCAGAAGATCTAGTTCTATTACAAACCAACCAAACACCCGTTTTCTGACCAAATTTGAGCATTTTTTAAATTGAGTGCCTAATACTATTAATTAATCCATCAATGAATTCAATAATTACTTAGGCTTGATCTATAATGAAAGAAAGTAATCTCAATACAAATGATTGGGGAGTGAAGTATCTGGGACAATAGATTTACAAAGGGCCATAGTAGTGACAGTGGAAAATTATATTTTTTGTAAAACAACCTTAAAAGAAAACCTTTTTTTTACCTTTTTTATATACTCCATTTACTGAGGTATAACTTACAAATGATAAAATTCACAGATTTTAAGGGCAGAATTCACTAAGTTTCACAAATGTATACCTGTGTAACTCAGTGAAGCTACCGAACATTTTCACCATCCCAGAAAGTTCCCTTGTGCCCTTTTCCAGTCAATTTTCCTACACCCTAAGGTACTATGTGTAGGGAAATAGTCCCTACTATTCTGATTTTTATCACCACAGATGAGTTCTATCACTTCTAGAATGCTACACACATGGAATCATAAACTATATAATTTTGGGGGGGGGGGTTGGCTTTTTCCACTCCCCGTAATGTTTAACTCATTCATATTGTTGTATCAGTAGTTCATTCTTTTTTATTGCTGAGTAGCATTTCGTTATATGAATATACCACAATGTGCTTATCCATTCGCCTTTTGATGAACAAACATTTGTTTCCAGTTTTTGTCTTTTATGAATAAAATTACTATAAACACATTTTTACAAAATGTTTTTTGGCTTTGTTTTGTTTTTTAACATGTTTTCTCTTTGGTAAATATTCAGGAGTAAAATTGCTGGTTTATAAACTAAGTATATGTTTAATTTGACAAGAAACTGCTAAAGAGTTTGTCAAAGTGACTGTATGCTTTTTAAACTCCCACAAGTAGTGCATGAGTTGCTGGTAGCTCCACATTCTCTTCACCATTTGATGCCTCAATCTTAGTAGTTTCGGCCATGCAGTGGTGTCTGACTCTGGCTTTAGTTTGCATTTCCCTGATGACTAATGGTATTGATCACCTTTTCATGTACTTATTATTCATATATCTTCTATTGTGAAGTGTCTACTCAAATCATTTGACCATTCTTTTTAAATCGGGTTATCTTTTTATTATAGATTTGTAGGGCCTTTGTATGAATTGTGTCCATAAAAAAGGTATGTTGAAGTCCTAACCCTTGCACCTGTGAATGTGACCCTGTTTGGAAACAGAATCTTTGAAGATGTTATCAGTTAGGCCATAATGGAATGGTGAGTACTAATCCTATATGACTAGTGTATATAAGAGAAGATACACAGAGACAGGGAGACAGGCGAAAGAAGCCATGTGATGCTGCAGCTGCAAGCCAAAGACCACCTGGAGCTAGAAGCTAGAAGAGAGGCATGGAAGAGATTCTCCCTTAAAGCCTCAGAAGGAATCAATATGGCCAACACCCTGATCTTGGACTCCCAGTCTCCAGAACTGTGAGACAACAAATTTCTAATAAGCCATCCAGTTTGTGATACTTTGTAACAGCAACTGTAGGGAACTAATACAGACTTCTTTACACAGTGAGGACACAAACCCTTTGTTTGATATGTGTACTGTGATTATTTTCTTTCAGTCTATGGCTTGCCTTTTTCTTTTCTTAACTGCATCTTTAAAAGAGCAGAAGTTTTCAATTTTGATGTGCAGAAATCTTTTTGTTTTGATAAACTCTAATTTATTATTTTTTTCTTTTATATTTACTATTTTTTGTGTGTGTGTCCTGAACATAGAATTTACAAAAATACATAAAATGGCCAATATACAGAAGAATAAATACTTATCCTCCACAATTTCCAAAGATATTTCAATTATTCCACCTCTGGAATTTATCCTTCAAATATATTCCTACACATGTGAAACTATATCGATATGAAAGTTACTCACTGTAGTAAAAGATTGGAAACAATCTAAATGTACCACAGTAAAGAACTGATTTTTTTAAATGATAGTGCAGTTGATAACAGTAAAATACTATGAAGTTATGAACATTTTAAACTCTTTATGTATTCTTTATGGAAAAATCTCTAAAATTTACTGTTGGAAGTAAATAAAAGCAAGCTGTATAACTGTGTACAGTTTGTGTTAAAAGCTTTTTTGTTTGAAGGGAAAAAAGATTACACATACTGTTTGATATGCACAAAATACCTCTGGAAGGAAAGTAATAACAGTGGTTGTGGAGGGTGAGAGGATGGGTGACTGCAGGGCCTGGAAGGGAGGGAGATTTCTCAGTGTATACTTTTACATATTTTAAATCTTTGAATAATGAGAATGTATTCTCTAGTCAGCAAATTAAAGAAAAAAAGACAACCCAACTAAAAAGCTTAAAAATTAAGATTTTTTTTAACCTATCAAATTTGCAAATATTATTAACATTATTGTTACTATTATATCGAGTGCGTGATACAAAGCACTAATATATACTGCAAGTAATAATGATAGTAGTAACTTTAACCTTTACTACCATTATCCTCTTTGACCCAATAACCTGTTGCCTTCGAGTCGATTCCGAATCACAGTGACCCGTTAGGACAGAGCAGAACTGCTCCTATAGGGTTTCCAAGGAGCAGCTAGTGGATTTTGGTTAGCAGCCGTAGTGCTTAACCACTATGCCACCAGGGCTCCTTTGACCCAGTAATTCCACATTTAAGAATCTTTCTTAAAGAAGTAATCAGCAATACAAAAAAAACCTATTGTAATTGACCTTTGATGTAACCACTGTGGACAGCAGTGAAAAAAATGGATACAGAATAAAATAATAAAAAATCAAAATTTAAATATAAATGAAACTATAAAAATACCTATTATTTTCTTTAATTATATATGTACTACTTTCATGATCAACAGATGAATAGAGCTTTCCTTCCAAAAACAGCTGACCGTTCAGCACAATGCTGATGTGATCAGGCAAAAACTGTACTTGAATATCCTCCTTAGTAGTGTCTTCTGGAAGCTGGGTTGTTATTGTCAAATCATCTTCAGTCTGTTGCCAGTAATACAGAGGTTCTACTGGGAAAGGAAAAATGCTTTATGTAATAAGAAATGAGACTAGAATACAAAAATCTAACATACAGAACACTTATCTAAAAGAATATTACCATATTTTCTAGTAATGAGCTAAATAATAATAATAAATACACACAGATCTTTCCAGGGAACTTTCACTTAAAGAGTTATAGCAATTACAATCAACATTTTCCTCTTCCAGTCTTATCTAATGCTCCACAAGATAAGCACCCAAAAAATACCGACAGCAATCCTTTATTCTCATTCTTCTCCTTTCTCCCTTATCTTCATCCTTCTCTTCTTCTCTCTCTCCTACACACACACACACACACACACACACACACACAGTGGATTCTGAATTCGAAAGAATACCAAAAATGTCATAAACCACTGTCTGATAACAAAACTTTCACCACGGCTTAGATTTGCCAACATTATGCAATGTAACTCTGTGATATAGGAGATGATATATTTGGTAGGATATACACACACATACACACACACACACACACACACACACACAAAGATGCATTTTCCTTGTAATATGTAGCTACTGATTATCCCACTCCACTACTTTGTTGCATGTAATATAGGAAATTCAAGGGCTGTCAGCATATTCAGTCTAGCTCCTAAATAAAATAATCTCCCTTCATCTCTATCTATATCTCCTTGGCTATCTCAGAAAGCCAGCTACTACAGAAACATCTTTTGGTTCATCATACTATAATTATGGCAATAAGAAAATAGGGTTTAAATGTAAAATAAATAAATATTTGCTAAATAGCATTCATAAACATTGGTTTGTCTACTCTCTTACCAGGAAAGAATATAACATATTGGCCAGTCTTGGGCCTGAGTCTTGGCTCAATCATTTATTAACTTTGATAAGCAGCTTTAACGTCTGAGCCTCATTTTCCTAATCAATAAAACAGTATAGTAGGATATTCACACCTCATAGAATTGTTGACATTTAAATGAGTAAATGCATATAAAACATTTAATATTAATCTGTTACTTAAATATATTTTAAACTCTCACTAAATGTGGCTTTGTTATTTTTTAAAATCATTTTCATGCCATTTCATGCAGAAACTTTGGAGGTTCTTTGATATTCTCAAACATACAGAATAACTATAATGTATCTTCCTGAATGGTAACTTTTACTGGAAGTTTAAGAAAAATTTACTTTAACAAACATGATCACAGTATAGAAATGAATGTAAAATCTATGTGAATTTTTAAGACAAAATTGTTACTTTGGGGGTATCACACTGATTGAGTGGCTTCTAAGATCCTCTCTCCTTTGCCTTTAGGAGTACTTTTAGTGTAAACTTACAAGTTTGAAAAACAGCTAAGAGGATTGACAACCATAAGCTCCATCAGGGCAAGTGATTTGTTTTATTCATCTTTCTTTCTTCCACAACAGGTAGCGAAGCAGTTTAAACATAACAATTACTCAATGAATAACTTGTGTCAAATAATGGAAATAGGAGGGAGTCTGAAATATCTCATGAGCTTTTAGTACAAACTAAACGACACGGAAGCACTAAAGAGAAGAGTCAGATATTTTTTTAATCCCTCCCGTAAAAGTATACCCAAAACCCCAAATCCATTGCTGTCAAGTCCATTCTGACTCATAGCTACCTTACAGGAGGGTAGAACTATCCCATAGAGTTTCAAGGCTGTACTCTCTACAGAAGCAGATTGCTACATCTTTCTCCCATGGTCGGCCTGATGAGTTTGAACTGCCACCAGGGCTCCTTCAAAAGTATACAAGGACCTTAAATAATTTTCTCAATTGCTGGCTGATCTGAGTGGCTTCCTATGCCTTTAGAAATAGAATTTTAGGTCTTTGAAGAAAATATTACTAATTATATCTATTGCAAACCCTGGTGGCATAGTGGTTAAGCACTATGGCTGCTAACCAAAAGGTCAGCAGTTTGAATCCACCAGGCATTCCTTGGAAACTCTAGGGTGGAGTTCTACTCTGTCCTATAAGGTCGCTATGAGTCAGAATCAACTCGACGACAACAGGTTTTTTTTTTTTTTATGACAATACCAAGTAGCTAATAGACAATACAGCTTCTTGAGGTTTACAGAAAATGAAACCAATATGTATACTTAGAATGAGTGTTTTAAAAAAGGCATACTAATTAACAAACTATCCAGAATTTTTTAAAATTACAACCTCTTGCCATTATTTTTGTGAAAATCCCATGACAAAATAAAACATAAAAGAAACTCCCCAATAGAAACTGAGTACAAGAAATCAAGTGAGGGCTGTTCACTGGCAGGAAAACAGAAAAATGGAGGGCATTAGGGGTTTATATCAAGGAACAATGGTTATAATAATGAATTCAGGAAGGGTACAAGATATAATGTGAGAGTTCAACAAGGAAGAACGCCTTCACTGGCAGTTAGTGTTTTAAACACATTTTGTATCCTACCTAGTCTGTCTTGGAACTACATAGTCCTAGCTATACTGGCAGAACAATTCTAAGGATTAAGACATTCTTTCACAGTTGCTCACCAAAGGCATTCTGACGGGCAGGTGATTTAGAATCATGAACAATTACTCTTAGGAGAATTTAACATTATAATTGAGAGAGAATCCTGGCATTTTTTCAGAAAGGGATCTTAACCAAAAACACATCACATATGAGGAAACAGGTGCTGAGAGACTAAATAAAAGACCTCTAGGCACAACTCCTTTGTATTCAGAGGTATATATATTTATAAGCCTAGGGAAAATACTTTTCAAATGTTATTACATTAATATTTGCAAATATTTTTCAAATAATTTATTTTAAAAATCTACGCAAATATAAAAATAGAGAAATTAAATGTTATTTAAATAATTAAGTTGTTTAAGTAATAAGAAAGTTGATTCAAAGAGTAATATGTATAATTGTTAAATACTGTAAAAATGCCAGTTAAGGATAATATACTTTTCTCTGCCTATTAATATCAGAAATATGAATAGTAATGATTAAGGAGGAGTATTTTCTTGAATAGCTATAAAAGAATATGTATTCTTTCTATATAAATACAAATATCTTTTAAAAGACATTTGTTATTCTTTTCATTGTAAAACATGACCTCAGTTCATTCATTCAACATAGCAAAAAATCAGTGATTCTAACTTGTTTAAGTTTAGTATGAAGGGTAGAACATGTTCCTTAGTACATACCAGTAATAAACCAAATTTAGCTTATGTTAAAAGATTAAATTCATAAACTCCCCATCAATACCAATAACATGTTGGCTTCTCAAATAAACACCTACAGCACACAGACATTACTGATTGAATAAATATTTATTAAACATGTAACTAGGTAAGTTAATGTGCAGACCTTTAAAAAACATTTTTGGTAATTACAACATTATTAAATCAGTTCACACCGTTTACCTGGTATAGTTTACAAAACACTCTTCTGGGAAACATAAAGAAAAAAAAAAAATTAAGCATCTCTCTTGCCCTGGTAGAACCCATAATCTAACTGGGAAGATAAAACAGACATAAATATGTATGCACATACATATACACAAGCTCTATGAGGATTGAAAGTAAAATTACCTTTGATTTTCTCTGACATGTTTTCATTCTTATTTTCTTCAAGATCCTGACCAGTTTGAATAAACTGGAAGGACTTGTAGGAAACAATCATTAGACCATTTCCATCAGGTTCAAGAGCAGCATAATGTGGCACTGACTTTCCACGGAGAATTTCATGCTTAATTATTTCATATTTTTTATTATCTGTAGGAAAACAAAGCATTTTTGAACACAACATTAGAAACAACTTTATAATGAAAATATTTGTACATTAATTTTAATTAAAATTAAGTATTTTAAGTTTACATTAAAAGGCACACTATTAAAAGTCTTTTCATAAGAATAAAAACTTTACAACTTGATTTCCTGAAGATAAATTCTGATTTCTAAATACTGGGTCTGATGAAATTTGTTTGCTCTAGGTTATGCTATCCAATACTGTAGCAACTAGCTACCCAAACCCATTGCCACTGAGTCGATTCCGACTCATAGCAATCCTACAGGACAGAGTAGAACTGCCCCCATAGGGTTTCCAAGGAGCACCTGGTGGATTCAAACTGCCAACCTTCTGGTTAGCAACTGTTGCTCTTAACCACTACGTCACCAGGGTTTCCAACTAGCAACAAGTGCGTATTTAAGTAAAATTAAGAATTCAGTTCCTCAGTCACACTAGCCACATTTCAAATGCTCAAAGCACATGGCTAGTGGCTACCGTACTGAACGGCACTTAGAAAACATATCCGTCTCCAGAAAGTTCTATTGAACAGCAGTACTCTAGACTTTGAAAGTGATGGACTGACCTGGAGTATCAGCTTCTGAAGGACCAACCTTTTCCTTGACAACAGCCTATCCAACTTCCCAGCAGGTATGTATATAAGATACATCTTCTCTCAAGAGCCACAAATTGAACATAAGGGGAAAAGTGTGCTGTGGACTACTTTTCTGCCTGTTCTAGGCACTGGTTAGGGGTTTTCTTAAAATGAAATATGTTCATAATAAAAATGAGTTTCATACACACTCAGAAATCCACATGCCTATTATCATCAAATACAAATAATGGCACTTTAAACATTTAGAGATATAAACAACTAATCGGATCCTAAAAGTTTTAGGTACAGTAACTGAATTTATTCTCCTATGAAAATAGGTTACTTTTTCCTTTTAGAAGTACTCAAACGTTTCAGGTAATTCCATTCATACCTTTACTTATACTCTGTTACTGCTAAAGTGGACTAACTTATAAGCTTCACACTGAATAGTCAAAAAATCACAACTCAATGTCTTATGAGTTCTACATAGTAATACAATAATAATACAGTTTGTTTATCTCTAACATTCTTTTTACTCTAAATCCTCACCTACATTCATTCATTTCATAAATATTTAAGAAGAGGTTTGGAATTTCATGGCTGAACTAAAAACTCCTATACTTTCGCCATGGTATGAGATTGTACATGCAGGGCAAAAAGTCCTAACTATCTTTACAAAATTTGACACTATTTATTTTCTAGCGTGACTATTCCCAATATGTGTGTAACAAAAAATAACAGATGGGTCTCACACAATGAATTCCATGGTAAAGTAAGTTTCGGAAATGCTGGATTTTATATATAGATATATATATATAGATATATATATAAATATAAATATATATAGATAGATATAGACAGATAGATAGATATATAGATATAGATATAGATATAGATATAAATATATATATACTTTTTTTTTGGCTTAAAATTTCATTATGCATAATGCTTAATGGGAACACTGTATTCCACATTTCAAACTTATTTTACCACAAAATATAATTTGTCAAGCGTTTCACTAAACACAGCTTGGAAAACACTGCTGTGTTAGGTTAATTTGAAAAAAAAAAATTGAAAAAGAAAGGGAGAGTAGAACAGCTATATTAGTAACAGGGGAGCGTGGCAGGGAAGAGCTAGACATTAAGAAGAGAAAAGAAAGATACTGTTATCCACAGAGAGAATTAATGTTTCTACAATTATAACCTTGGGAGAACCAGTTGAGGCAAGGAAACAAAGATGAAGGGAATGGAGGTGATGGAGGTACAGCAGAGTCTTGCTGTGTTCTGAGGCAATCTGATGAAAGTTATTGTAGACTGAGCTAAATCTGTTACAGAACCAAGTGTCCTGGAGAAGGAGAGGAGGAATGTGCATGAAGATTTCTCTTTTAAAATGTTAAAGTGCATACCTTAATAAAAAAATTAAAGCTTCTATTATCTAAAGCTTATTGTTAGTTGCCGTCAAGTCAATTCCGACTTATAGTGACGCCATGTGTGCAGGGTTTTCAAAGCTGTGACCTTTCCGAAGATCACCATGCCCATCTTCCAAGGCACCTCTGGATGGGTTCAAACTGCCAACCTTTCGACTAGGAGTGAAGTCCTTAACCGTCTGTACCACCTAGGGACTCCTTATATTATCTAAAGAAGGGTTCAGCAAATTATGACCTGTGGCCCCAGTCAGAACCTCTGCCTATTTTTGTACGACCTGAAAACTAAGAATGAATTTTACATTTGTAAATGGTTGGAAAAAATCCAAAGAATAAACCCTTAATTACATGTAAAATGATATGAAATTCAAATATCGGAGTCCACAAATATAACATTATTGAAACACAGTGATGCTCATTCATTTCTGTATTGCTGATGGCTGCTTTTGTGCCATACTGGCATAGTTGAGTAGTTGTGACAGAGATCATACAGTCCACAAAGCCTGAAGTATTTACCATCTGGTCCTTTACAGAAAAAGTTTGCCAACCCCTAATCTAAAGGTTTAAGTTACTCTGCTCCTCCAGAGATAGAACAACAACACTGGAGGAAAAGGAACAGACAAATCATATTAAATACTTCAAATAACAAATCTGAGAGATTTGTTCAGCTTAATTAAAAAACTATTCTGCCATATAGAGACAGGCAGAGAAAGGGAGGGAAGCACTGTTCTAAAATAAAAGGGAAAGGCCTCTTAGAAAACATCTACTAAGAGCCTTATCAGATTGCAAACTGGCAGCTATAGTAAATAAATATTTTTTCCATAGAGATAAATAATAATTTAAAGCTGTCAAGTTAAATAAGTAAGTCAATAAAACTTGCCAAGAAAGAGAAGAGGCATCATGGAAAACAAGCTCCCTTAGTTCTCGACTACAGAAAAAATACACATAGTGAGTCAGTAAGAACTAAGCACTGGCAAAGAGCAAGCCCACACTATTAAGGGAATTCTAATTAATAGAGGAGAAAAATGCCCAAGTTAAAAGCTAGACAGACAGCTCAAACAGACCAACGGTCAGGACTTTTCTACACCTGGAAGCACTTTGAGTGAGAAAAAGTAACAGTCTTCCTAAGAGTAGAAATAAACAACAAAGCTCAATTCGATTTTAAAAAAATCATAGTTACGATTTAATGAAATAAAGGTACTCATTTCCATCTAACTATTATATTTAAATTGAACTGTAATTTACAATTGATTTTAGATATATAAATATAAATTCTTGTGTAAGAACATTTGTATATATTAATACATGTTTTAAATTCTTCAAAAATTATGTAATAATATCTCCTTTTATACAAAACATACAATTGACTATGAAAGCACACTACTATTTTTTCTGTTACCCATATCTGAGAACTTAACTACAGATACCACTCAGTCCATCAGGTGACAGGTCCTAGAATCGTAACATAACGCCCAAGAAAGTGCAAACATTTACAGAGCCTTGCATTTCAAAACCTATCAAATGATGGCAACCACCACAGAAAGATTCAGAATTTTTTTATATTTTACCTTTATTTTTCTTACTGATAGTGACCCATTCCAAAGAAACATAGAAACCGCTTCCTTTCATATCCAATTCCTCCTTTTCTATTCGAAGAAGTAGGGCAGCTATTGAATGTTCTTCATCTTTTAGCAATGAGATACTGTGAATTATGATAAAAGGACTCCCAAGCTCTTCATTAAACATGATCTGCAAAAAAAGATTACACACCAAACACGAAAATGTACATATTACACGAATGTAGATAGCACAGAGGGAATACACAGAATTCTGACAATCCAACAATCGATGTGGATATACAAGGAGTACAAAAATTAAAAAAAAAAAAAGCCTTTAGATAAAGGTAGCAAGATTGAATAATGTCCCTCGAAGAACACTTAAAAAATATCTATTTGTATAACACAAAAATGATCAGTACTCTTGGCTTGAAAACACCAGGGCATCTAAAAAGTATCTAAAGGAGAATGAGAACTGAAAGTGAAGACACAGGAGGCAGGTCAACTGTTCACTCTCCCATCTCTTCCCCTAACTCATATATAATTTAGTTCTGCTTTCTCCCTCTTCCTTTCTGGAAACTGTGGAGGTGTTTTTGTGTGCATGTTCATGCACATGCTTTTTCTCTGTTGGTTTTATTTTATTTTTAATTTGTTTAGAGAGGTAAGAGTCAAAGGAATTGCAGAGCAAATCACTGTAAAACTTTATTCTCTCAAAAACAAAAGGGCCCATTTGCCTTCAAAAGACATAATTCAACAAATGCTGTTTAAAATACAATCCTACCAAACAATTCCAGGGACAGAGTAGCAGGGGCAGGGTTCTGGGGACCATGCTTTCAGGGGACATCTAGGTCAATTGGCATAACAAAGTTTATTAAGAGAATGTTCTGCATCCAACTTTGCTGAGTAGCATCTGGGGTCTTAAAAGTTAGCGAGTGGCCATCTAAGATGCATCAATTGGTCTCAACTCACCTGGAGTAAAGGAGAATGAAGAACACCAAAGTCACAAAGAAAGCATGAGCCCAAGAGACAGGAGGGCCACATAAACCAGACTCCACCAGCCTGAGATCAGAAGAACTAGATGGTGCCTGGCTACCACCAAAGACCGCCCTGACAGGGAACACAACAGAGAGTCCCTGATGGGGCAGGAGAAAAGGGGGGTGCAGAACTCAAATTCTAGTAAAAAGACCAGACTTAATGGTCTGACTGAGACTGGAGGAACCCCAGAAAGCATGGATCTCCAGACTCTCTGTCAACCCAGAACTAAAACAATTCCCAAGGCCAACTCTTCAGACAAAGATTAGACTGGACTATGGGACATAAAAATGATACTCGTGAACACAATGCTTCTTAGCTCAAGTAGATACATGAAACTAAATGGGCAGCTACTGTCCGGAGGTGAGATGAGAAGGCAGAGAGGGTCAGGAGCTGGTAGAATGGACCAGGAAATCAGGGGTGGAAAGGAGGAGTGTGCTGTCACAGTATAGGGAGTGTAATTAGGGTCACATAACAATGTATGTATACATTTCTGTATGAGACTAACTTGAATTGTAAACTTTCACTTAAAGTACAACAATAAATAAAAATAAAATACAATCCTGAAGTTGCTTTTAAAAAAGTAAATCTAAATATATACAGAGATACACAAAATCTTATCAAATTCTTGTTTATACCAAGAGCATATACTCTAAAGTAAAAGACTTTTCATTAGCAGGAATACTAAATACGAGAGATTTTTGAGACTCATTGCTGAACAAGATTTTCAGACGAATAACTACGGAAAAATGAATAGTTGAAAAAACATCTTACTAAAAGAACAGCGTCTCTCTCTTTTTTTTTTTTAATGTATATCTGGAATTCCCTCATACCTGCTCCTTGAAAGACTTGTAATGACAAGTTCACTTTAAAGTCATCTATTTCCCCAAGTGTTTGAGAACTTCTGCCAAAATTATTCAAATAGTAGATCTCTGGAATCTATTCTAAAGGTTTCCATAAGCAGAATGAAAAAATAAAAAACCATCAAGTACTCCTAACAGAGATGATAGATGAAGACAGGTTTTTGATTGGTTGACTGGGTTTTGCTTTAGGGGAGACAAAAAGGAGCCCTAGTGGTGCGGTGGTTAAGTGCTCAGCTGCTAACTGAAAGGTCGGTGGTCCAAACCCACCAGTGGCTCCACAGGAGAAAGATATACGGCAGTCTGCTTCCATAAAGATTACAGCCTTGGAAACCTGTCCAACCGTGTTGCTATGAGTTGGAATTGACTCCACAGCAATGGGTTATGGGAGACAAAAGAGGAGGAAGGGCAAGTGAGAGTGAAAGTATTGCCGGGTACAAGGAGCTAGTTTGTTTCCTCCTTTTCTTTCTCTCACACCTGAATAAGAGAGACTGGAATAAAACCCGAGTAGATGCCTGGGCTTCTAAAACTCATTATGCTGAAGTTTCCAGTCTTCTGAACGAGTTCACTATCTGAACTGTGATATTGTTACTATACAGCATCATCATATTAGAGGCAACACATTTGGAAAGCACATTTCTACATTTCAGTCATCACCACCACCCTTGGCCCCCTTTTAATATCATGTCCCCCAATTACTCCTACCTCTAGCTTCCTCTCTGTTACACCGATTCCTCCAAAACTCCAGAAACACACCTGTTTCTCCTAAAGTGATCAGTATTCTGCAGTACTCTTCTCACCTCACTGACCCCCAATGTCCAGTCAAAACTATTAACTGATAACACTGGAGACATGCTTATTTCATTACAGCAGTGTATAATGAAGACAGCATGAAGTAGATTTAAACTTTTCATTGAATGAAAAAAAATTTTGTTTATCTAAGGCCTAATATGTGATAAGGAGATACAAACAGCAGAAACCAATAGAATTATAAACCCATATGAATCTCCTTCTGGTGTAATGTGTGGTGTTATTTTTAAGCTGAGGGTGAGGTGGGTCAGTCTGTCTTTCCTATTCTCCCCTTAAAGCCAACGGAATCCACTCAGCTTGATAACAGATAAATTCTTATCCATCTCTCTTCTGCCAATCAGTCTCAAAATCTCTTCCAACCTTTTCAGGTGGCTGTGCTATATACAACATTGCCTTACTGAAAAAAAATTAAAAAATAAAAGTTATTACTAGAGGCCAGAGCAGAAAATATCAGTGTCCAGATAATATTTATTTGAAACTAGAATGCAAACAGCTCCTGTATACAAGTTATTGTTGTTCTGGTTGTTTAGTATGGGGTTTTTTTGCTTGGTTTTTTGAACATACTACAATTGAGTAGGATAGGTAAATCACTTAGTATAATATTGTAAGATAGGTAAACCATTTGCTCCTAAGGCCTTACTGGTTTTTCTCAAATAATTTAAGCCCATTTTTGTGGACATCTGTTGATTTGATAAAAAATATTTTATGAGATGTAAATATATAAAGTTTGTAAGCCTTTACATACGCAGAACTAAAGGCTACCTGCTGAGATTTAGACTGCAGTAGTATAAAAATAGACCAAATAGTAGTAATTCAAAGGAGCTGAAAGCAGTAAATTCTTCAATTACCAACTCAATATTATTCTTTTCTACTTTCAAAAACTGTAGCTCATGGAGAAATTAATTTCCTATTTATTACTGTTAAAATCCTAACCTGCCCTCCAGATTTACATATGCTCAACTAAAAAAAAAAAAAAATGGCACCTTGGATTTTGGTATATAATTACACTTAAATTTAATATATTTTTCTAAGTAGGATATACTCTTGTAGACTCACTATTTGACCAGTGTAAACACACCAGCAAATCTAGCATGAGGGTAGAGGAGAAAAAATATCCCAATGCAATTCTTTGGTCAATTCTTCTTCAATAAGAGGTTTATATCAATGCTTAGTGCAGTGTTTTACACACATAAAGCACTCAGCAAATATCTGCTAAATAAATGAATGCAATTCTTGGTAACTGCAATGACCACAGATCAAAACAGGAATGGTTCCATGGTCAACATATACATAATTTAACTAAAGAAAAAGAGATTCAAAACTTCATATATTATGAAAACCAAGAGATCACACTTAATCTATCCTTGAAAAGTGTTATTTAAAAATACCAAAAGCCAAACCAAACCCATTGCCGTTGAGTGGATTCTGACTCATAGTGATCTTACAGGATAGAGTAGAACTACCAAATGGGGTTTCCAAGGCTGTAAACTTTTACAGAAGCAGACGCCATATCTTTCTCTCTCAAAGCAGCTGGTGGCTTCAAACCATCAACCGTTTGGTTCGCAGCCAAGCATTTAACCACTGTGCCACCAGGGCTCCTATTTAAAAATAAGTGATGTCTAATTTATATATACTCTCTGGACTTTGCATAAGAAGTTAAAAAAAAATTAACACCCTCACCTCCCATTTTTTAGAAGAATTATTTCCACGTTCATCTGTGGCAATCAGATACAATCTTCCGGTTCCATCTGATAAGGTAACCCAGGTAGAAGATGTAAAATGAATAGATGCACAAAGGCGATTGTCGTACACAGTCAAATCTGCAGGAAGTCGAAATACCTCCCGAGGTTTTCCTAAGGCAGTGTCCTATAAAGAAGCCAAACATGAATTAATCCTTCCCTTTCCTGGATCCATACACACAAAATAAATACCTGCAGTGTACTGGTTTGAAGATATGTCCACAAATTCTTTGACAATCCCCTTTTCAAGAGATGGAGGCTAATCCCCCTTCCTTTCAATGTGGGCTATACTCATGACTCACTTCTAACAAAATATGGCAGAAATCACGGTATGTAACCTATAAGACTATGTCATTAAAGGACATTATATGTTCCACCTTGCTCTCTCTCTTAGATTGCTGCTCTGAGGGAGGCTAGCTATCATGTGTGACAAGAATTACGGAGCCCATGGAGAGACTCATATGGGACAAAGGTCTAATCTCTAAAATACTATACGAAAATCCAAGACCTCTACAACAAAAAGACAAATAATTTAATTTAAAAAAAGGGCAAAGGATATGAATAGACACTTCACCAAAGACACCAACAGGTTCAATGGGGAATGGTAAAATCTTATAATTTTAATCTATATTTTTCTGTTTACTAGTGAGTTTGAATATTTTAGCCAGTTTTTCTTTTTTTCCTTAACCATGGTTTTCCTGTTCATGTTCCTTTTCCGTTTCCATACATTTCTTGTTGCTTTTTAAGGGCTCTTTATTTGTCATGGATATGTGTGTTGTATTTCTGGCAAATATTTTTTCCCTGTCTCCTGCATGTCTCTTCATTATGCATAGGAACACTTTCTCCACCACGAAATTATAAAAATATTATTTATTTTCTGACAAGACATTCAGGCATCCAACAGACACGTAAAGAAATGCTCATGATCACTAGCCATTAGAGAAATGCAAATCAAAACTACATTGCGATACCATCTCGCCCCAACATTACTGGGCACTAATCAAAAAAAACCAGAAAATAACAAATGTTGGAGAGGCTGCAGGAGACTAGAACTCTAATGCACTGCTGGTGGGAATGCAAAATGGTACAACCATTTTGGAAAATGATATGGTGCTTCCTTAAAAAGCTAGAAATAGAAATAACATATAATCCAGCAATCCTACTTGTAAGAATATATCCTAGAGAAATAAGAGTCGTCACACGAATAGATATATGCACACCCATGTTCACTGCAGCATTATTCACAATAACAAAAAGATGGAAACAACCTAAGTGTCCATCAACAGATGAATAGATAAACAAGCCATGGTATATACACACAGTAGAATACTATGCAATGATAAAGAACAATGATGAATCTGTGGAACACCTCACAACATGGATGAATCTGGAGGGCATTATGCTGAGTGAAATAAGTCAATCACAAAAGGATCAATACTGCATGAGACTACTATTATAAAAACTTACGAAAAGGTTTACGCACAGAAAGAAACAATCTTTGATGGTTACGAGGGAGGAGAGGGATTGGGAGGGAAAAACACTAACTAGACAACAGACAAGTGGTAACTCTGGTGAAGGGTAAGGCAGTACTTAATACTAGGGAGTCCGGAACAACTTAACCAAGGCAAAGTCATATATTCATAAACACAATCAAACTCCTTGAGGGACCAAATTACTGGGCTGAGGGCTGGGGACCATGGTCCCAGTGGATATCTAGCTCAACTGGCATAACATAGTTTATAAAGAAAATATTCTACATTCTACTTTGGTGAATATGGTCTGGGGCCTTCAAAGCTTGTGAACAGCCATCTAAAATACACCTACACTGGTCCCACCCCCTTTGGAGCAAAGGAGAATGAAGAAAACCACAGACACAAGGGAAGGATTAGTCCAAAGGACTAATGGACCGCAACTACCACAACCTCCACCAGACTGAGTCCAGCACAACTAGATGATGCCCAGCGACTACCACCGACTGCTCTGACAGGGATCACAATAGAGGGTCTCAGACAGAACAGGTGAAAAATGTAGAACAAAATTCTAACTCACAAACAAAGACCAGACTTACTGGTCTGACACACCGGAGAAACCCTGAGAATATGGCCCCTGAACACCCTTTTAGCTCAGTAATGAAGTCACTCCTGGGGTTCACCCTTCAGCCAAAGATTAGACAGGCCCATAAAACAAACAATAACACATGTAGTTCAACCATGTATACAAGACTAAACAGGCACACCAGCCCAGGGGCAAGGATGAGAAGGCAGGAGAGGACAGGAAAGCTGGATGAATGGAAATGGGGAATTCCAGGTAGAGAAGGGAAGAGTGTTAACATGTTGCGGCATTGGCAACCATTGCTACAAAATAATATGTGTATTAATTGTTTAATGAGAAACTAATTTGCTCTGTAACCTTTCACTTAAAGCACAATTTGAAAAAAAAGAATGGAATAGGTGTTCACAGATAAATTTAAAAATATACAAGTATAAAAAGATAAAAAATAATATATTCTAACTCTAGTACTTGGATATGACTATGTTAATTTTTTTAATAGGTCATTCTACTCTAGACCCTGTTTAGCGACAGACACTTACACATAAGATAGATACATATTTTCCAGGAACTCTTGTTTTGGGAACTGTATGAAATATTTGTTTCTTTTGAAATAACTGTTTTAAAACTTTATTAACTCAAGAATATAATTAACAAATAACTCAATAAATATTAAGTGCAAAAAAAAGTAGAATGCCTCTATAAAACTGTGTGATGAATTGCTGCCACCTGCTGGCTCTTGAGAAAGTCTGAAGGCCAAGTGACTTAAGGACTCGGACCCTATGGCTTTCATTTCGTCCACAGATAACATCTAGGCGTGTGAAGCCCTGGTGGACAGCGGTTAAAGCACTTGATATAATAAGGGTTACTGTTTGTACACCAGGCACAGGAGAGGTGACGCTCTGGGATCTGTGCATGTTTATACTGACTCAAAGAAAAATTCAGACAATCAAATGGATATAGAACAGCTGTTTTCTGCTAATTAAAAAGTCAGTGTCTAGTCAGTGGCCAAGATTCCCCACTTGTCCCAACACAGAAGCTCAAAAAGTAGGCTGATTTCCTTTGTTGCTGATCAGAAAAAAAGATATTATAAGACAGAAGCGTCATACTCTTCTATACTACAGGTGCAGGGTTCCTCAAAACTTGGTCATTGTATCACAGGCGAGATCATCTGAAGTGCCTGATAAAATGGAAGATTCCTAGGCCATGACCAACTCTGACAAACTGAATCAATCTTTGGGACTGGTTACTCTACAACTTGCTTTTGTTTTGATGAATTACTCCAGAAGATTCTGATGTGCAAACAGTTTGAAAACCAAAGACAAAATTTGAATTAATTAAACAGAAAATAAACTAAAAAAACTCAAAACAGTTCTTTAAAAAATATATAAACAGAACCCTCCTAAAATTTGATTAAGGAAAAAAGATGAAAAACATAGAAAGTTAGGAAAAAGAAAGATAAAAGTTAGCAATCTTAAGAGCACAATACATGTAACTTTACAGCAACAAATTTTGAAACTTAATAGGAAATGATTTCCTAGCAAAATACATACATTACAAAATTATCCAAGAAAGAGTCTGAATGAACAAATTACCATAGAATAGATAGGTGACTAGAGAACTAGCATCTAAAAGAGTAACAGGAATACAATAGGTTCAAAGAAGAGCTTTATCCAACATCTAAAGAACAGATCATTCCAATCTTATTTAAATTATTCCAGTCCTCAGAAAAATAAGAAAGCTCCCCAATTCACTTAAGGAGTGAGTAAAACTTTAACCAAAACCTACTAGATATAAAAACAAAGATATAAAAACAAAACTACTATAGACTGATCTCACTTGTGAACATAAATGCAAATATACTAAACAAAATGTTAGCAAATAGAATCCAGCACTATAACAAAAGAACATACTCTCATCAAAAAGAGTTTATTCTAGGAATTTAAGGAATTAGGAAAATAAGGAATTTAAGAACTATATCAATCTAATTCATTACATTGATGAATTAAGTAGAAAGAGGATAACTTTAAAATAATAAAGGCTACTTACCAAAAGCCAACAATATTTTCTTAAGTAAAATTTAATAGACATTACAATTAAAATCAAGAACTAAACAGGCATACCCACAATTCCAATTATTATTAGGCACTGTCTCAGAGCATCTATCTAGTAATTTCAAAAAGACAAAAATGAATGACATGGGACTGTTATTTCCATTTTCATAAATATCGTGAAGATGATGCAAGATCGGGCAATATTTCATTCTGTTGTACATAAAGTCATCATGAGTTGCAGTCTAGCTATCTAAAAAACTACTGAATTATCAAATGAGTTGACTGTTTATAGAACAAACTGCTTTTCTTTTACCGATAAGCACCTAGAAAAGGAAATAGAAAAAACTATATTCCATCTTCAACAGAGATAGGAACCATAAAATACTCAAGAATAAATTTAATAGAAAGAGCATAAAATCAAGAGAAAACTTAAAAACTTACTTAAGGATGTAAAAGAAGACATACCATGCTACTAGGTGGGAAAACAGATCATAAAAATGCCAATCTTCCTAAAATTAATACAAATTCCCCATCTGAGCAAAAAACCGGAGACTACGCTCTTCAAAGTTTGAACTAGACAAACTCTGGATTTGGGAACATTAGGCCCTGCTGAGCACAGGGATAACGGACTGTACTAAAAGAAATCAGGGTTTCAGCGAAAGCCCACATATTAAGAGACCACAAACTCTTCCTCTGCTTGGATCCCAGGAAGCAGGAATCAGGCTTTATATCTCTCAGAGAAGAAACTGAAGGACTTTCTCTCTGGGGACCCTTGACAGCCTAGAAGATAAGAACTACAAAAATCAGTACTCTAAGGCCAGGTATCCTCACTCAACCACACAGTGTCAACTATCATTTGGGGGTATATGGTAGGTCTTTTCCCTACAGAGTCTAATAAAGTTTTAGAGTGTAGATTATGTCTTTTCAACTAAATTGAAGGACTTTAGAATCCGATTGCTAAATAAATAATATTATAAAGCACCAAAAGAGTTCAAGGATAAGAATTATCAGAACTAGGAAAGAA